CTGCTAGTCTTATTATAAAAATGATTGCGTAAAATATCTACAATAGTTTATGCTTCTCACGTCTATTTTCTTTTGATATATTTATATGAAACATAATAATGTTTCACTTCATTTGTAGATTATACCTAAACCAACCCAAACAAGTTACTATAGTATTTTTAATAAGGATGCTAATAATTTGCTGTTATATGCTTATGTAAACCTGACCTAATAGTTTGCTGTTATATGCTTATGTAATCCTGACCTAATAGTTTGCTGTTGTATGCTTATGTAAACCCAACCTAATAGCTTGCTGTTATATGCTTATGTAAACCTGACCTAATAGCTTGCTGTTATATGCTTATGTAAACCTGACCTAATAGCTTGCTGTTATATGCTTATGTAAACCTGACCTAATAGCTTGCTGTTATATGCTTATATAAACCTGACCTAATAGCTTGCTGTTATATGCTTATGTAAACCTGACCTAATAGCTTGCTGTTATATGCTTATGTAAACCTGACCTAATAGCTTGCTGTTATATGCTTATGTAAACCTGACCTAATAGCTTGCTGTTATATGCTTATGTAAACCTGACCTAATAGCTTGCTGTTATATGCTTATGTAAACCTGACCTAATATTTTGCTGCTATATGCTTATGTAAAACTCCCTTTATATATTGCTCATATATGCTTACGGAAATTCAGAAAAAAATAATATCATTTGCTTAATACCATTATTTTTTAATATCAGCTAGCATTATATCTGAATTAATATACAATAACACGACGGAGAGAAAGAGTCAAAAATACTTTGTTGTATTTCAAATTGAATTTACATTGGAATTGTTATTATCTGTAAAGTCGCTAAAATCGTTTATATTTACAAATCTGTCAACACACCATTGTCTTTATTTTAAAAAAAATAGTTGATTTATAGTTGAATTAACTTCAGTTGAAAATATATAGCTTACCTTTAATTTAATATATTGCAGAATAATATTTTTTCACACTGAGTTGTGTGTCATTATGAAGTGTTGATACATTTAGCGACAACCTCACATTTGGTAATTATATAATTGTTATAAATCACATTACGAATACAACGTGAACACCTGTTTTGATATTTTTAACCGTCCAATAAACTTTTCAAATTACAATATTTGAAGCATTCTAATATTGAATATTAGGCACTTGGCTTCATAATCATACGAAGGCGCTTGTTGAGGAAATGTTAGAAAATTACCAATAACTTTCAATTTACTTTATTTACTGTTCTTATTTTCTGATAATGCCGTCTATGGTCGCCCGTATTTACCAATATCGGTCCGTTTATCCACGTACAAAAGATCATTTTTTTAATACTGATCTTCGATGTAATCGATCACTTGTAGGATTAGTAAATACAGTTTTTATTCAATAACAATATCACATGACCGATACAAATATGTACAGAATTTTTAAAGATTTAAGAGTTTATAAATCATTGTAATTGAATTACTTCCAAAATGAAAAATATTCTTTTAAAAGTTCATAATTTAACGATTTTTTAATTAAATTAAATTTAAAGATTATAGTGCCCATATTATATTTTATTCATAAAATCACTTAAAATGTTTTATAATTAAATAATGTCTTAGTTTTAATGTATTTTTTATTTATTATGCAGAAAAGATTTTATCTAACTGGGGGTTCCTTTTTGGCGCCATAACTCATATAAACATCAATCGCTAAAATGAATTTCACAAAATTTTATAATATGAAATAAGTGAGAGGTAACGATGTAAAAATATTTTTACCAAGATGTTATAAGGACAAATTTACAAAGAAATAATTGAATTTATTTGTGAATAAACCCTGAAAGATTCATTAAAATTCATCAATTATTTGATTTTTGAATGAATTTCTAAATCAATGTGTTTTCTCCGCAGGAAGATGTTCCTTTTCCTCATACAAATTTATGGCCAAAATTTGATACCAGAAAAGAAGATATTTAACCATAACTTGAAGGTTCTAAAAGGATTAACAAAATTAATTTTTAATTAAAAATATATAGCTGGCCACACGTATTCGAAGATACCGGTTTACAAAGGCGGCTAGCCTATCCCTATTTCGGACGGTTGCTCAGGCGCATTTGTCTTCATTCAAGAACGCACCTATGGTTTATACTGCAACTATACTGAGCAGACCTTAGTTACAGTTTCTGAGAAAGAGCGTGTTATCCAGCGTAATCAACAATTTGAAAAAGACCAACAGGCTCAAGCCCTCAGCTACAATGACAAGTGACTTCCAACTAGCACAGATTTCCCTCTACACAGGGTTCCGTCTAACGAATTTCACTCACTAGGCTTGATTCAAAACGTTTCAGGCACTTTCCAAAGATGCCGCACGCTGGTATCAACCAATCTAGCCCAATAACATCATTCCTGACATATTGACTATGGTGAGATTCGAAGAATGCAAACGTTCTAACCACACGACCACATGAAGAAATACTCTGAATAATAACAGGAAGACTTTGGCAATAAAACCTTTTATTAAGTTGTGAGCGACTTTTCATCGTGCAATCTCCCTTTTAACGAGTTTTTGCTGGTTTATATATATATATATATATATATATATATATATATATAAAGTTTCAAATTAAAAAATAATAATGTTTTATTGTATGAAAACATTTATTTGTTTATATATATTCTGTGTAGAGGGAAATCTTGTCATAGTAGCTGAGTGCTTGAGCCTGTTGGTCTTTTTCAAATTGTTGAGTGAGGATATATATATATATATATATATATATATATATATATAATCGCCGGCTTCTGATAGGACGGCTCTAAAATCTCTGTCGCATACGCCAGTGCAGGCAGATTTGTGTTTGTTCAACCCCCACAGACATCACCTTTGTTTCACACTGAAACTATGTTGAACAGAACTAAATTTCTTTCTGAGAAAAAGTATATAATCTGGCATAATCACCAGCTTTAACAAACACCATTACGTCCAAACTATCGGTGACGATAACTCGTGACGTCGTGATGGGAAGACAGCTTCCGAACAGTTCCATCTACCCAATTTCACTCACATGGTTTGGGTGCACCCATAGTAAAGTTGTTCATTCATTTCCGCAGGATTTGCCCGCAGGAAATTCTTCGGTTGACGAATGCCATAAAAGTTGACTTTCTTGTCAAATTAACCATTGTCAGATTCGAAGTTTAATCGTATATGTCTTGGAAACACTCAGAAATTCGTCTAACAAAACAATTTCATTTTACGATATTACTATTTAGCACACACACAGGCATACGCTCACACCCATATATGTACACTCGCACACACACACGCATATATATATATATATATATATATATATATATAAATGAGAGAGATATAGATACATAGATGAAAATATAAGAGATATATAGCTGGATAGAGAAAATATGAGAGATAGATAGGCAGGCAAATAGATGAACCTATGAGAGATATATAGATAGCAGATAAATGAACCCATGAGAGATATATATATAGATAGCAGATAAATGAACCCATGAGATATATATATATAGATAGCAGATAAATGAACCCATGAGATATATATATATATATATATAGAGAGAGAGAGATAGATAGATAGCAGATAAATGAACCCATGAGATATATATATATATATATATATATATATATATAGATAGATAGATAGCAGATAAATGAACCCATGAGATATATATATATAGATAGATAGATAGCAGATAAATGAACCCATGAGATATATATATATATAGATAGATAGATAGCAGATAAATGAACCCATGAGATATATATATAGATAGATAGATAGCAGATAAATGAACCCATGAGATATATATATAGAGATAGATAGATAGATAGCAGATAAATGAACCCATGAGATATATATATATATATATATATATATATATATATATATAGATAGCAGATAAATGAACCCATGAGATATATATATATATAGATATAGATAGCAGATAAATGAACCCATGAGATATATATATATATATATATATAGGTAGCAGATAAATGAACCCATGAGATATATATATATATATATATATATATATATATAGATAGATAAGCAGATAAATGAACCATGATATATATATATATATATATATATATAGATAGATAACAGATAAATGAACCCATGAGATATATATAGATAGATGAAAATATATATATATAGATAGCAGATAAATGAACCCATGAGATATATATAGATAGATGAATATATATATATATATATGGATAGATGGAAAGATGAGAGATTAATGTAGGAAAATATGATAGATGTATGAAAGATGAAAATATGAGAGATGTTAATAGGTGGACGTACATTTCTTATGGCTTTAAATAATCTACAAAGTGTTGATAAGTCGTTAAAAACAAACGGATCGATCAATCAGTCAATCTCCATGTAAAAAGTTATTTTTTTCTTATAAAATTACCCAATAAAAGCTGAAGAATTAATCAGCTTCCCGTCCATTTTAATAACAAGAAAAAGTATTATAGCTGATTTACTACAGAAATACTTAAAAAATACTAGATGAATCGGATATTTAGTGTCCGGAAATCAAGACAAACGTTACTGCTATACAGAATAGGACAATTATATGTGTAATCCTATATACAACTGACTTTAATATTACTGTCTTCAGAATAAAATCATAAGTAGAGTTTTAAAGTAAAAAAGAGAAATGTTTTTAACTTTGTAATTTAAGAAGAGGATTAAGACTCAGTTCGACAGCTTAATAGATAATTCGTCAGCGTTCATCGTCCTTTGCATAAAGAAGAGTTTCTCGTCGTGACTCGGAGGCTAAGCCGTCGACTGCACATCACCATTCACTACAACCCATACGTATACCAGAGTCTTTTTTTTTATTGGAAGCCATGTCCATCCAAGTTGATATATCGCCACTTGCTTTCGTCTTTGAAAGCAAAATAAAAGCAAATAAATACACGGCTTTGCTGAAGCTAACTCCTTGTCAACCGAAATGAATAAGTGGACGTTTTTGCCCTTCTTCACTTTTTCTTTCAAATCGTAATAAATTAGATTATTTCTTCTTGTGTTATTTTTCTCTATTCGTTTTATATATGTTATGTATGTATTCAGATCACACACACACACACACACACACACACACACACACACACACACACATATATATGTGGGTGATCTGAATACATACATAACACATACGTATACACACACACACACACACATATATATATATATATATATATATATATGATGTCTGTGTTGGCAGTGGTGGAATTTTTTCTCAGTCTTAGTTGCTTTTAAAGACATTTTTTATTCAGAGATTTACAACCTCCAAAAGTTTGAGATGTACCGAAGATTGTCTGCCAAGGGTAAAAAAAAATAGTTGTGGAGAAAGTTATATAGAAAAGCTAAGACAATTTTTTGTAATCTCGTTTTTACATAAATGTTATGCAGTACGTGGATTTAATATAGTCTGTTATAGTATGTAATGTGAATATATGATGTAGTTTTATTTTATCTCTTCTGGTGTTTCTCCCGTTCCAGGTAGGTATTTTTGAAGATATTTAAGTAGGTTAGCAATCGTCACCTTATAAATCATCTAAGTGTCATTAATATCACGGGGTCTTTCAGGCCTAAATTTATGTGGGTAGTCTTCTGTCTCTTACTATGTCTATATCTGTTATTTGTATTATTTTTGAGTCTATATTTAATATTATTTTTAATATAATTTAATATATATATATATTATATATCTTCATTCATCTAATTTAAAATTAATCAAGTTTATCCTTTATAAAACAAAGAGAATAAATGAAAAGTATTTACATCATTTATATTGATCGAATATATGTCCTCAATTTTTTTGTCATAATCACGACGTTTAAAAGTAAAAATACTGTAGTTAGCTAACCATACAAATGGAGAAAAATGCATTGAATATCAATGTTTGGAATGAAGCAGATAATTATGGGTACAAATAGTTAAATCTTTGAGTCATCTTCCTCTTCCTATTTATTCAGGAATTTTACGCATATATCTCTTTTAGGCTAGCTTTTTTTATTTTTATTTTTTTTAACAGTATATCTTTATCGCATTCTATTTTCTATCCTTGTTTCACACTATCTATCTATCGCATTCTATTTTCTATACCTGTTTCACACTATCAGATTCTATTTTCTATCCCTGTTTCACACTATCTATCTATCGCATTGTATTTTCTATCCCTGTTTCACACTATCTATCGCATTGTATTTTCTATCCCTGTTTCACACTATCTATCGCATTCCATTTTCTATCCCTGTTTCACACTATCTATCGCATTCCATTTTCTATCCCTGTTTCACACTGTCTATCGCATTGTATTTTCTATCCCTGTTTCACACTATCTATCTATCTATCTATCGCATTGTATTTTCTATAGCTGTTTCACACTATCTATCTATCGCATTCTATTTTTTCTCTTTGCTTCACACTATCTATCTATCGCATTCTGTTTTCTATCCCTGTTTCACAGTATTTTTCTATCTATCTATCTATCATGGATTGTTTCTCAGTTTCAAACTATTCCACATTGTGGTGTGCTTGCTCAGGATGTGGACGTTCAGGGTCGTCTACTACTTCCTAGGGTTATGTTGTTAATTTAAAAAATCTCTTTGACGTTCAATATTACCATCCATTTACACAAAGACCCCAGTTTTGATACTTCTTCCTTCACTAGGTCCGTCTTGTATTCAATATGTTTTATATGTGTAAAATTAACCCATACCTCTTACCACTTGGTTTCCTAGTAATTTCAATTGTCCATTTCTGATTTTAAGAATAAATGACCTTTACCTGTCAATTTTCTTTACAACTTCACCTTTTCATTTTTCCTCCGTTCTTGGTATGCTCAATAGCCTTCTGTAGAACCACATTTGTTGCTTTAAGTCTCCTCGTATTTTGTAAGGAAACTGCTCATCAATCACTATATATCGGAATATGTAGGATACAGTACTTTAACAGTATTTTCGTTGTTTCTAACGAAATTTTGATCTTTCTAAAGAACTTATTTAGTAGTTGGAATGTATATTTAACTATTCCAGAGAGGTTCCCAATTTCGGTGTCACAAACCGGAAAGATATATATATAGAGAGATATTCATCTATGTCATATGTATCTAAAAATCCCAAACTATCAAAAATATTTTAAATAAAACCTTGATTAATCAGCGTCACATATATACCGTTTATTCTCTCGTATCATGCAATTTTGAAGAACGAATTTTAGAGCTAATTTTAAGAGAGGTCTCATCATACACGCAATATAAATTTGGCGTATTTACTGATGGTTCTGGCTACGCCGTTGTGCAAATTATATATCCCCTTACTGTAGTCAAATGAGCTTCAAAATTAGATCTTCAACAGTCGCATGATACGCAAGTATCTATCTATCTATTTACCTATATATATATATATATATATATATATATATATATATATATATATATATAATTTTTCAGTTGAGATTTTGTACTATAATCTTAAGTTGCACTTAAGACCCGCTAGTGATTTATAAAGGAGGCCACATATGCAGCAAGAGTTAGTAGTGTGGGATGAGATCACTGTTAGATTGGCTGACCATTTAGATCTTGCTCTAACTTCTTGAGGACGACTCAGACAAGCAAATAGAAAACTGCTGAGTTCACTAAATCACGTAGATCTCCATTCTACCCACTCCAAATCTAAACGCTCAATGGTTTTACGTGGCATATTGATAGCTGACAAGTTGCTCTTCAGCTTGTCTTTGTATCTTAGCCATGGCTTATATATATATATATATATATATATATATATATATATATATATATATATATGACTCGCCGTGTATCCCACCCCAACTTGAGTGTCCAATTGTGTTTTCGTGCCCGTTGTTATTTTTGTTTTTTTCTGTTTTTTTGTTTTTATATTTATAGAATTAGATTGTCTTTCCTATCATTCGGTTAATACATTCCCCACTTCTTTTTGAGCAGGACTAGAGGCTCATCCCTAGTTATCTGTTTAGGAAGTGGTTTTCGAAACCTTTCTTTTTCTCTGGCCTTAGTAGTGGTGCTGTCGTTAATTTATTGTGATGTGTGCGGTTTTTGACAACGCCTCTTCATACTGAGGATAACTGATTGGCAGTTTTCCGTTCCCGGCTAATAGTTAGGAGCGTAGCGTCATGCGAGGTTGCCCTGGTCAAGAGTTGCATAATATCGTGGTTCTTGTACTGCCAGGTCGCGCATGGATGGGTGTCCCTGCATGCACATCCGGTGGGCAATCCCGTTGCCACATTCTGTGGCAGCCTGCGCTAGTTTCTGTCTGCATATGCCACATTTGATGACCGACTGCTTCCATTGCTTTAGGCCTTTGCCTTACCAACGTAACTCAATATGGCCATAACCATCCAAAACTATAAACCACGTAAACCCTTTAACATTCCCTTCTTCAACATCCGTGGTATTCTTACCAAATTCTGCAGTGTGGAATCATTCCTCTTTGATAAGTCTCCTGATATACTAGTTCTCCTGTGAAACTAACCTTAACTTTTCAGTCCCTTCTTCTGATTTCTCAATTCCTGGTTACCTTCCTCTCTTTAGAAAGAACTCTAAAACCCACATGCATGGCCTGGGAGTTTGTATCTGCGATCACCACCTGCTGGCTAGAGAACTCACTCTGGAATCTCAAGATAACTATTATATGTATCTCCGTCTATCACTCCTCAATTAGGTAAGCAATCTCTTCTTTCTCTAACGCTCTCCATCCTCCCAAGACTGTGTTGTATTCGAAATCTTTTCCGACAAGGCTATCTTCTCCATCAGTTTGCTCATATATTCGTTTTCAGGAACTTTAAGACTGTTGTGTCATCGATAGCATTTCTGATAATACAGACGAATGTCATCTTTCTACATTCGTTTGCATGCAAATTCGTTTTCGGCGACTTTAACGACTATCATACTATGTGGCTTAAACACTCTGTAACTGACCACGCTCGAATCCAAACCCTTAACTTTTCAATCACTCACGCAAGTGGTTGTATTTCCTACGCGTTTCTCCAGCATCCAAGACTCTAAAAGCTTCCTTTCTCGATCTCTGTATTACCTCCATCCCTTATTCTTGTTTCGCTACGCAGTTCTTCCCTCTTTGCAAGCCTGATCACGCGGTGGTGTCTCTTAACTTCTCTTTCACTGCCCTTCCAGCCATGAACCTCCTACTAACAGAATATATTTCTGTTATAAATGTGCAGACTGGGACTCCTTTCGTTACTTCCTTCGCTACGTCCCTTGGGATGTGCGTCTGTGGTCTCCTCTTGGTTAAGAACCGGCATCGTGGTTTTCCTCCTCCCAGTAGGAAAATACCGAGTTAAATCGTGCTCATCTCCATACTTCTCACCTGCTTGCTCTACCACTGTAGCCCATAGGAATTACTTCTTCCGTCTGTACCAGAGTGACATGTCTGATTGCAACAGATGTCTTATTGTCTCTGCTCGTAATGAGTGCAAGCTTGCCCTCAACGAAGCGAAAATACTGTTTGCTGATAGAAGGAAACTACATATTGCATCTCGCAAATTTGTTTCTAAATATTACTGGCGGCTCTGCAAGAGTGTGCTGAACTACAGCAATCCTCAATTCCACCTCTATTCAATCAATTCTTAATTCCTTAGCTGATAAGCCTGAATGCTTTGCTCGGAAATTCTCATCCAGCTCAACACACGACTCAACCGGGGTATTCACACCTGATTTTTCCCCCAAGAACTGAAGCTGTACTGAGTGTGATGTGCATAAGCCTGTTGATGGTGTTAGGCATCATCTCTAAATTAGAATTTCATAAAGCAAAAAAAAATGTGCCATGAACTGGGTTCAGTTCCCTCCAAACTATACAATTATTACCTCGCCGATTCTTGCTTTGCAAACTTTCCTATATCGTCACAGTCTTTAAGAATTCTGTAGACCCTTTTGACCCATCTAACTATCATCCCATCAATCTCGAACTATTAAACTAGATGTATCGAAGTCGTTTGACTATGGTTGGCATGCTGGGCTTCTACGAAAGCTTCAGGAATACAGTATTACACGACATTTATAAGATTTAATCCAATCGTTCCTCTCTAACCAAGAAATAAAGGTTGTCCTGAACGGGTTCGATTCCAGTTCCTTCCATACACAAGCTAATGCTCCTCAAGGCTCTATTCTTGGTCAAATACTTTTTCTGAACTTTCAAGAATGAACTTCTTGACGCCATCAGTTCTCCAGAACACGCATCTACTCAGATGACATTACCATTTACTCCTGCGTCAACTGTAAATTCGCTGTTGCTGATAAAGTTAATCTGGCCGTTGGTCTCGGAAACGGCCTCCAATCTGTGTTTTATTGGGGCAGGAAATGGCTTGTGAAGCCAAAATAAAACTGCTGTCATTTACTCACTATAAAGAAACATCCTGCCTCCTATCATAATGGTTGATGCTCAACTCCACAAGAGTTCCTCACTGCGCCTTCTTGGTCTCACGTTTTCCACTGACCTGAGTTGGAACAGCTAAATTGAATCAATAGCTGCATCTACCGCAAGGAAAGTTGGTTCTCTGTGCCGCGTCAGGAGATTTTTCTAGTCTGAGTCCATCATTCACATCTACAAATCTACCATTCTTCCATACATGGAATACTTTTGCCATGTATGGTGTGGTGCCTTCGCTGTTCATCTCGAACTTCTCGACAAAATCCAATGACAGATATGCAAGATCGGTCTTGATTTGGGGGTTCGAGTCCAGTCACTTTCCCACCGATGTAATGTGGCTTGCCTTTTCTATAAATATGTCCATGCATCTGCTCTGACGAGCTATTTTCACAGGCGCGCCGACTGCATGAATTTAAGCGCGCTACTAGGTTGGCATGTCGGTCCCATCCTTTAACTCTCGCATTTCTCAACAGTGAAAATCCCTGCCTCTTAATTACTTCCATGATAAATATAATCTTAAAAAATAAATGTAATCTCAATCGCTATCTTCTGTTGTCTTGATCTCCGTTGTTCTATCTAACCTCTTCAGTTCCAAATTTTATCAATTCCTTACCCCTACATACACGTTGACATTTCCCTACATCTATGTAGCACCTTGCGTTTTATTGGTGCTACCGCCTATCTAGGGGTGAAATGCTTAATATATATATGTGTGTGTAACAAGATAGCTGAAATAATGGCTAAGCGTATAAATAAATACTTTGCTAAACACAAATTAAAAATAAATATAATTTAAACTTAAAAAACATTACTTATTAATAAATAAATGAACAACTATTAAACACGCATACACAACTAAAAACGAATATACCTACCTTCCCATAATTAATAACTCAATAAATATCACTAAGGCAAAAACAAATAAACCATTAACCATTAAATAAAAATCAAACATTAGATAAACGATGACGTATGATATAAGCAAATACTTAATTATATAAAAACTGTCCTATTGTTCTTTTTATCCGAATTTTTCGGCTATACATTTAGCCATTTTCAAAGTTGAATATATTAACTGAAACGTTGT